TTTGTGCTAAGCTAGGCTAATCAGAGCCAGCGTTCCCTTAAAAATCTGTCACTTTCATTTAGTTTTGCTTTTTTTAGTGAAAACACGTTAAATGAAAATAAAAGTTGTCACATTTTTATGAAACAGTTTTGTGTTCTGGTGAATTCGGCTCATGTGACATCAGTAAATATTGATTATTATTTATTGATTATTTGTGACCTTCCTCCTCCTCTTTGTCAGCAGAAGTTGGGAGACTCCTACCGAGGGTTCTGCTGCTCGGAGGCCGAGCTGGAGGCCATCCTGTTGCTCCACAAGCAGCAGACCGGCTGCGTCTTCGGGACCCGTCAGTCTCCGTCTGTGGACAAACCAGCAACCAGGCTCATGTGGAAGTCTCAGTACGTCCCGTACGACGGCATCCCGTTCGTCAACGCGGGTCGGTACCGCCGCTTCAGATCAATAATCTGTTCTGTTTCAGACTGCGGTTGTATAAAACTCCAGCAGAGGGAAATGAACTCTTTCTTTCTTTCTGTAAATCTGTAAAGATTGTAAAATAATTACAAACTGAAAGCAACAAAAAATACAAGTAAAATATATAATATATAGTAAAAATTATTATTAGAAAGAAAATGAACCGGCCTTTCAGGGCTTCCGTAGGTTTTCAGTTCATTTTATCACAAAATTAAAATGTTGTAACGAACATCAGAAAGATGGTGTTTATGGAAGCCCTGAAAGCTTAGTGAATTATTTAAATTCATCTTTAAAAACAAATAAAAAAAGACATTTTCAAGATAAATTTTTAAGTTTAAAATTATTTTTCCCTTTTTAAAAGCAAGTGAAAAACATTTGTTTAACCTTAAATTAAAATTTAATGTAAGTTAAATCTTTAAACTTAGAAAAATGATCTTCAAAGAAAAACGTTTCACCTGTTCAAGAATAAACTTTATTAGATCAAAATTAACATCTGACACAAAGTTTAAAAACATGTAAATGAAAAATACTTTAACGTGTTTTCATAGACTTAATTTAGAAAAAAGTTCAAATATGGTTCTGATGTGAAGCCAGTTAAGAGTCATTCAACATGTTCCATTCTTTTCCGAACGATGCGTAAAATAAAATAAAATAAAATAAAACCTCACAGTAAAACTTTATTATTAAGAATAAAAACATACAAACATTAAATATAAATATAAAATGTGTTTTTCAGGCAGCAGAGCGATTGTGATGGAGTGTCAGTTCGGACCTCGCAGGAAAGGACTGAACAAGAGCTGTGAACACACTTACAGAGCTACCTGTCCCGCCAGGTAAACCCCACACACACACACACACACTCTCACACACACTTTCACTCACACACACACACACACACCACACACACTCACACACCACACTCTCACACAGCACTTTCAAACAGCACACACAGCCACCTCCTCACACAACACTACACACACAACACACTCACACACACACTCTCCACACCACTTTCATCACGACACACACTCTCTCACCACCAACACACACACACACACACACACACACACTCTCACACACACTTTCACTCACACCACCCACTCTCAACACACACACTTTTCACTCACACACACACACCTTTCACTCCACACACAACCCACTCACACCTCACACACCACTCACACACACTTTCACTCCACACACACACAACAACACACTCACACAGCACACTCACCACACACTTTCACTCACACACACACACACAAACACAGCATCACACACACACACACACAGCCTCAGCGACCCGTCGTCTGTTTTAGGATCTACATCAAGAGTCGGAATTTCGGAAGTTCGGCGTTCCCCCGGAGCCGACGTGGAGCAAGAGGACGGTGAAACGGAAGCAGGAGAAGGCGTCCAGACTCTGAAGAACCAGAACCTGGAGTCACGAGGAGTCATCAGGTACCTGGAACGTCTGATGGACTGGACCCGGGCCCCGAAATCATCACATTAACACGGTTTCTGCTGTGTAGGTTTTACCCTGCAGCTCCCCACAGAGAGAGCTCACTGTATCACACCGTGGACACGCCCCCCATCCCCCGC